CCTTTTCCATCGTGTCAATTACGAACTGCAATATCGTCATAACAATTGATCATTCCGTCATTATTTCATATTAATTTTATTAACTTTATTGTTCGTCGACATTGTTAAAAAAAAATTTTTTGTTATCATTTTATTAAGTTTCAACGGTGATTGGAATGTAAAAGCTAAGTGATAAAAAGGAAAAGAAAATAATCGTGAATAAATTAAAAGGTGCAAAGGTGAAAGAACTGGAAAAGCCAAGTTTTTGTTTCATCCCTTTAAATTTTCGATCGACGATAAAAAAAAAAGAAAAAAAAAAAGAAAAAGAAAAAAAAAAAGAAAAAAAGGAAAATAACTTTTCGCAGTTACGTTTAAATCATTCAACGTGCGTTCAAAAACGCATGATTTATATATATACATATATATATATATATATATATATATATATATATATATATATATGCTCTTTCCTGCACGCTTCAGCGTTCACTATACCGAAACCTTCAACTTCGTTAACATACTTTTTCGTATGATCTCGTGCGAAATTCCATATAACCGAGTGAATTACGTAGCTACCTCATTACCAACTTTAGGATGAAAAAAAAGAAAAAAAAAAAAAAAGAAACGGAAAAGAAAAAAAAAAAGAACCAAAAAGATCGTCGACAAAATGGTTCCAATCGTTAAACAAAATTTTACCTTCTCGGGTTTAAACAAAACTAAACTAAACTAAACTAAACTAAACTAAACTAAACTAAACTAAACTAAAGTAACTCGTTAGCACGATTATATGACTGCAGATATCAAATCGTTTTTGGACTAAAATAACTATTTAACAAATGTATCAGTATTATTTTCAAATTTCCTATATCTCTTTAAAATCTAAACTTTCTCTTTCAATTTAAACCGATAAACGTGATATAATTTTTAAATTACAAATATCGAATAAAATCAATGAGTAAACGTTTATATTATTTCTCTATAAACTTCTATATCAGAAAACTAATAACATATTTGATATTATTCCAATAAACTCATAACGAAATATTTCACGAAGAAAAATATCCAATAATTGTAAAATCAGATAAAATGTTTCTGAAACGTGAAATTTTATAAGGGGGGAAAAAAAAAAAGAAAAAGAAATAAGAAAAGAAAAGAAAAGAAGGAAGATTTCTATATTATTTCTCCCATAAATTATTACGAATTAAAAATGTAAAATAAAATGCATTAGAAATTATTAGATATACATATATATATATATATATAAATATATATATATATATATATATATATATATTTACATTAAAAATTTATTATCTTGTAAAAAAAAAAAGAAACAAAAAAAAAATTATTAATAAAACATTTCGCAATTTAATTCTTTTCAATAAAATTTCTTTAATTGATTAAATTAAAATCCAATAATATCGTTTAACGTTTAATATCATTCGATAATTTATTTATTATTTCCCAACGAGTTGTTTTGTTATTTGTCACGAAAATTAAAGGACTTTCAATAGACAGACTAAAAACAGTTCTGACTTCGATCGATGCTCAACAAAGTATAACTGCCGTTCTAAAGATATCGGCCGATAAAACTAAGTTTCCAGTCCATTAGCCGTTCCTTTGCTTCATCGATTTTAAATAGAGGAAGCTCTTCTCGGCAGTCGAGTAAATCGATAGGACGCACGTATATCCGTCATGGCTCAGATATTTCATTTAATTATTGCGCAGAGTATCGGATTGTATCGTAAAAATATCTTTTTCCTTCAATTTTTATATTTGCCCGTATGCACTTTTATAATAATAATAATATTATTATTATTATTATTGTTGTTATTATTATTATTATTATTATTATTATTATTATTATTATTACTGTTACTATTATTATTATTGAGAGCTTTGTCAGGTGTAATAATCGTGAAAAAATTAATTTCATTTAAAGCATTACACGTCGATTTAAAAATAATAGGATTAAAGTGATTCATCAATTTATTCGATTCAATTTTAATATTATCCATTATTATTTTTATTATTGTTATTGTTGTTGTTATTATTATTATTATTATTATTATTATTATTATTATTATTATTATTATTATTATTATCATTTGAGAGCTTTGTCACGTGTAATAATCGTGAGAAAAATTTAATTCATTGAAAATATTACAGATCGATTGTAAGTATGATAAAATTAAAATCAATTCATTCATTTGTTCGATTATACTGCAATAATATTATTCTTATTATTCTTATTATCGTCGAGAAGATTTTCGTAGATGTTACAAAGAAAAAAAAAAAGAAAAAAGAAAAAAGAAAAAAAAAAGAAAAAGGAAAAAACTTTTTATTACAGGTATCATGGGTGAGACATCGAGACGTACACTTGTTAACAGTTGGTCGTTACACTTACACGAGCGATCAACGTTTCGAAGCTCAACACTTTCCGCATACCGAAGATTGGACTTTAAAGATACGATATCCACAACGTAAAGATTCTGGGATTTACGAGTGCCAAATCTCGACGACACCACCTGTAGGACGTACTGTACATCTGACTATTGTCGGTGAGTCAAATGACAAACATATTATTGATATCCTTTATATCAATTTGTTTACCATTTTTATTTTCACTTTTTTCTTTTCTTTTTTTTCTTTTTTTTTTTTTTTTTTAATCCTTTTAAATACTCTTTGTCAAAAAGTGTAAGCGAAAAGTGAGATCATCGGTAAATAATATAACGAGCAAACGTTACGAACAATATACTTTTTTGTCGGTGATTATAAAAATACGATAAAATATATATATATATATTTTTTTTTTTATCGTATCGAAAAAAGAGAAAAAAAAGAAGAGGAAGCAGAAGAAGAAGAAGGAAAAGAAAATTAGACATATCGTGACCCTTACGAATAAATGTCGATTCAATATGTAATATAAGAAAGAAAATTATATGATAGGACAAATAATAAAATTGTTACGAATCAAATCTAATCCATTGTTAAATTTTCATTTTCAGAACCAGTTACTATCATAGTAGGTCAGCCAGACCTTTTCGTTAACAAAGGAAGTACGATCAATTTAACTTGCATCGTTAGATATGCTCCGGAACCACCACCGTCAATGACCTGGAGCCACAATAGCGGAGTAAGTCTTTCATATTGATATTAATGAAAATTAATAATAATGAAAATTATTATTTGATTAAATATTTTTCAATAATTTTTCGTTACAAGAAATAATAAAATAAATGGCACAATCGTTATCACGATAAAATTATCATTATATATTCGATTAAAGCTTCTCAACTTTTTATATACATATATATATATATATATATATATATATATATATATATATATGAAAAAATTAAAATGTAACAATGTTTAAGACGATTTAACAATCAAATTATGATAATACAATGTTTCTGTTATTTTCATTTTATTTTTATTTATTTATTTCTCTTTTTTTTTTCTTCTTCTTTTAAATTTCCAAAAGAATGAGTCATTCGTAATAAAAGACTTATTACGAAAGAAATTCGTCATTTGCGAGATTATTTGGGCTCGATATCAGCCAGTAGGTCATGATTGTAAGGCAAAGTAATGTTAGAAGTCTAACGATAAATAGGACTTCTCATTCCAATTTCCGAAGTAAAAGGGGGAAAAGAAAAAAAAAAAAAGAAAAAAAAGAGAAAAAAGAAAAAAAGAAAAAAGGAAAGGAAAGAAAAAAAGAAAGAAAGAGGGGGAAAAAATGAAAAGAAAAATAAAAAGACGAAGAAGAAAAGTAAGGCTACAGCATTGCACATTTCACAGGCGAATCTACTATTGTGAAAATTTTCAAAGGAAATATGCGAAAAGTATGTCGTGTATACATATACGTATATACATACACGTATATACATACAAGCGTGTACACCCACGCGTATACGTACACGTGTATAATAAGTAGATATATATGTACACATCTACACATTCACACATACACACACACACACACACCCCCACATATTTATATAGTTTTCACAACGTTTCATGAAGCTCGAAGAGACTCGAAGAAAGCAACCTTTTATTTTCCATCAAAGCTTCGTCATCGTCGACGTCGCCGAGCACAAAGAGCTCTCTAACTCCAACAGAAGAAGAAAATTAAGAATATTATTCTTTTTCTCTTTCTTCTTTTTTTCTTTATCTTTTCCGTTCCAAGAAGTTCACGAGAGACACGCGCTCCTGCACACACAGACACACAGATACGCACATAAAACATAAGACACAAACATGCACATACACACAATAAGAAGAAGAAGAAGAAGAAGAAGAAAGAAAGTTTCTATGGCGGCGAGTAAATTTATTAGAAAATTAACGTGATATTTTCTTCCTTTAGTTGTATACTTCAATAAATAAGAAAACTTGTTATATCTCTAACTTTTAATTAGAAAAAAAAATAATCGATGATCGTAACCGACTGATAAATATTACGTCTTCGTTTAACGACCTGAACAAAGGATAATAAAAAAAAAAAAAAGAAATATATATATATATACATATAAATATTAATGTTAATTTTTTTTTATTGATGTTAACTATTAATCGATGAGATGAAAACGAAAAGAAAAGGGAGAAAAAAAAGAGAAAAGGAGAAACGAAAAATGGAAGCAAAAAAAAAAGGAAAAAAAAAAAAGAAAAATAACCGTGAGAAAAGGAGAAAAATATAACAACGAAATTCCAATCTTTTGTTCATTCATTTATTTAGATTATCAATTTTGACTCGCCTCGAGGTGGCATCAGCTTAGTTACGGAAAAGGGCCCAGAAACTACGAGTCGTTTGATGATTCAAAAAGCCGTTCCGAGTGACTCTGGGATTTATACTTGTGAACCGAGCAATGCAAATCCAAGCAGCATAAAGGTCCACGTTGTTAATGGTAAGTGCTTTCGTGAAGTCCTCCTTCACCCTCCCTTCTCTCTCTCTCTCTCTCTCTCTCTCTCTGTCACTCTTCTTCGTTCTTTATTTTTATTTTTCTCTTTTCCTTTGTTCTTTCTTTTTTTTTTGTAACTCCTTCTTTTTTTCTTTCGCGTAAGCTCCAAAAGCTCCTTCGACGTCCCTAGGTATTATGCGATCTATTTGTTTATTTATTTCACGAGAGCAAGAGAAAGGAAGAGAGAGAGAGAGAGAGAGAGAGAAAAGAAAAAAGAAAGAAAAAAAGAAAAAGGTTAAAACAATTAATTAATTAGGACAATGAAATTATTCGGATCGATTTAAAAACAGAGAAACAAATTTATTCCCTTATGTTTCTAAACGATTTCACAAACGGAAATAATTAAACAAAGTGTACGACGGTCCGTTGTAGGATCGTATGCAAATTGAAATGATTAATGATATTGAAAAAAAAAAAAGAAAAAAAGAAAAGACGAGGGGAGAGAAAAAAAAGGAAAAAAAGCTCAAAAAAAAAAAAAAAGGAAGAAATTATTCAATACGTTTGATATGTATGATGCACGCGATGTAATCCCATTTTCCCGAGGACAAACAACACCAATATAACCATAAACCATTATTTTATACACACAGATATACACACACACACACACACATATATATATATATATATGTATATATATATACGTCAAATGATATCGATTGAAAACGGACACCCTGTACATTCCATCCTCAAACAAACTACGTACATAGATCGAAATCATAAATCGTAAATAATGTTCAAAAGCAATGGAAATTCGCATATGCGTTTACCGAAAAGCACAACATGCCAATATACATATATTTATATATATACACACACACACATATATATATATATAAATGGCAGTAGTAATGCATCGATATGATAAATCTCGTGTTCGGTAAATCGATAGTTAGAACCTGATTAGCAAGCCATTTCGAACAGCAGCGGCCATCACGTCATTACAAACCCTATCCGTGCATTTGAACATCAAAGAACAACCCCCCTGGTATAATCCAATCGAACGCAAGAGATTATTATGACGCGGATGTTTTCTCCCCCGCAGTACAAGGGAACATCGCTACGTTTGACCGATTACGCTTACGTTGAGTTCGATAGTATCGATGCTATCATTCCTCCTACCTAACCCCACCTCCACCACCTTTCCCAACTGTTTCCAATTATCCCTCAACCCAATATCCAAACGTTACCCATATCATCCTCCTTTCACTGATATTGACAGCCCTGTTAAAGATGTTTATACTAATTTTCTCATTCTCATCAATGACTCGAATAACAATCGAACAAATATCAAAATTAAAATTAAATACGATACTTATCATATTATAATGATAAAGATTTTTTTTCAATGTTAAGACGAAAAAGTAAGGAAAAAGGGAAAAGAAAAAAGGAGAAAAAAAAAAAAAAGAAGAAACAAGAAGAAAAAAGAAAGGAAAATTGATAATAATAATAATAATTAAATAACGAATGTATAATTAATATGACAAGCATATTGTCAAAGATTATAAATAAACAAAATTAAAGATAACATGATAGATCTAAGGAATTTTCTAATGATTCCATGAGACTGATAAATTATTGTAATTATTTCAGTATTACTGTCAATTCGATTTGTTCGTAAAATCTTTATCTATCTCTGTTACTCTCTCTCTCTCTCTCTCTCTCTCTCTCTCTCTCTCTCTCTCTCTCTCTCTCTCTCTCTCTCTCTCTCTCTCTCTCTCTCTGTCTCTGTCTGTGTCTTTTTCTGATAACGGAAAGGTAAATTTTTCGAGCGTAACATTTTTCGACATACGTACATATTTTTCGATATTCTGTTCATGAAACTGTCTAATATACATACATATATACATGCATAAATGCATACATACGTAGGTACATACATACATACATACATACATATATACATACATACATACATATGTATATACACACAGATCCGTTTTTTGTTGCAGAAGAGCATCCAGCCGCGATGCATCACGGTGATGGGAGTTCTTCATATGCTACGACAAAACCGACTTGTTTTATAATTTTAATAATGGCCAACGTGATGTTTATATGAATAATAAATATGAACAAAATCGGAGAAACTAAAAATAAAATGAGTAAGAAGAGGAAGAAGAAGAAGAAGAAGAAGAAGAAGAAGAAGAAGAAGAAGGAGGAGGAGGAGGAGGAGGAGGCGAAGTAAAAGGAAAAATATGAGAAGAAGTGGGTGAACGTTTCGTTGAAAAAGAAAACAGAAAGAGAAAAAGAAAAAAGAGAAAAAAGCAAAAAAAAAAAAAACAAAAACAAAAACAAACGCAACAAAAAAATAAATAAAAGTAAGAAAAACATGTCGAGAGATTTAATTAAAGAAATAATAAAAAGTATTCGTGCAGGGTAAAAAGCGAACATTACCGTTTAAACGTTTACGACTTGTGACCAAAGTGTTTCGAAAATATCAGCACGGCACAATAATCGGTTAAGAGCGTAGTATTTTGTTAATATACATATGAATAAATAAACAAATAAACAAATAAATAAATAAATTTAAAAATATATATATATATTATATATATATATATATATATATATATATATATATATCTCGTCGAAGAACGAAACGTAACTCAACAAGACGTCAAAAATTTTATTGTATTATTTGTAAATAAATTTATTGTATGTACATATCAATAAAACGATTCTCTTTATCGTACGACTACGTTCATTTTCATCATATATATATATATGTATATACACACACACACACACACGTACACACACACATACACACACACACACAAAATATATACACTTTATCGTATATATATTATTATATAATATAATATACATATACTTTCGTTGTATCATTCGTCGTATTCATTATATACTTATATATTTCGTTGTATATGGTAAGGTATTATATAAAACATGGGGGAAAAAGTGTAGAAAAGAAAGGAGAAAAAAAAGAAAACAAAAAGAGAAAACATGAAAGGAAGAAAGAAAGAAAGAAAGAAAGAAAGAAAGAAAATAGGAAAAAGAAGAAGAGAAGGGGGAAAAAAGAAAAAAGAAAGAAAGAGGCGGAAAAGCTCGAAACTTTGTCGAGAGATCGCAACGAGGCAAAGACTCGAGTCAACGAGGGTTCCCTTTTCTGTTCGTACCCAAGTGTTCGTCTCCTTCGTTTTGTTCTCAACGACACACGCGAGGAAAACGAGAAGGAACTAAAAGAAAAAGAAAAAAGGGGCAAAAAAGAAGAAAAGAAAAAGAAAGACAGAGAAGAAAAAAAGAGAGAGAGAGAGAGAGAGAGAGAGAGAGAGAGAGGTGAGCCAAGCTCGTCGCGATTTCACGCGGAGATCGTCCGTGAATAGAACGTCGACGCCATGCCGGAAACTAATGACAGCATTAATTACTCCGTCCGTCTATTCGTGACTGTCATTAATTACCGCAGCTGACGGAACACGAGCTGACTTTCTCTCGCAAAAAGAAAATAGGGGGAAAAAAGGAAAAAAAAGGAAGAAATAAGAGGTTTTCCAATAAGAGTTGTCAAATCTTTTTTTCTTCTTCTTCTTCTTCTTCTTCTTCTTCTTCCTCCTCCTCCTACTCCTCTTCTTCTTCTTACTCTTCTTTTAATCAAGCATTGAAATTTAAAAAACGTTTAGAAATCTTTATTTTGTATGCATGTGTGTGCGGGTGTGTTTAATATATAATATGATCGATTACAATAAAATATATATATATATATGTGTATATGTGTGTGTGTGTGAATGATAATATCGGGAGAATAAATGACAATCATAATTTTTTGTTTACGCGATACGATCACTGGACTACCGAGTATTCTTTTATGAAATGATGATGTTGATTGACCACCAAAAGGATCGTTTTTTGTATTATCTTTATATGATTGTGTCCAAAATGTCAATTTTATGCCGACCATCACCGCTAACCACTAAAGTGCATCGAAACGAAATTCGACCGGTCATTCGCGAAATTAAATCGCGTTTACATATGTGAAAATGTTGCAGAAATTCTAAAAAAAAAAAAAATGGCCATGATATCATGGCAAAAGTGAACTTTTTGATTGCCACTTTTGATCGATATTATTTTTTATACATAATCGATCGTACTATATGTTATATATATTACACGTAAAAGATTTCAAAGAATTTTTTTTCATTTAAACAATTGAAATCTTTTATTCTTTCTTTCTTTCTTTCTTTCTTTCTTTCTTTCTTTCTTTGCTTTTGTTTTTTTCGTTTTCAATCTTCGATAACTTCTATCGAAAAATCTTATTATAGATATAAAGAGAGCTAAGAGAGAAAAAAATTTCCAAAAAAAATATGCGAGAAAAAACAAAGTTATAGAGATATTCGATTACGTGTAAACGAATGAATCGATGTTCGCTTTTGAAACTTCGAAAAAAAATCGACCGATTATTTTTCAAATGTTATCTAATTTATTGCAGAATTATATTTCAGTTAAAAATCGATGCGTTCATCGTGAGAAATGTTTCGAAGATATTTCGTTTCGAAAAGTTCAATCAAATTGATGCCGATTATTTGTTTCCTTTTCTTCTTCTTCTTTCTTTTTTCTTTTTTCTTTTTTTTTCTTTAAGCAAGAAACTTCATCCATTTCTTTTCCATTATAAACATTACGACCTTAAAAATAATCGTTCTCATATCTTAGAAGCTGAACGTAAATAAAAAAAAACGAAGATAATATCGTTCTGCTCCATATCCTCGAATGAAAAAAAAAAAGAAAAAATAAATAAATAAATAAAAAAGAAAAAAGAAAAAAAAATCCTTTCACTTTCTAACGGCTTATCGAAAATTGATTTAAAAAAATCAAATTTAATGATGAAAACAATGTTAAACGTTATACGACATATATGTATTATTTAATAGAATATATATATATATATATATATATATATATATATAAATAAAATTAATTGTATTTCTACTTACGAACAATGAAATGGATAATAATAATCGAGCTCGTAAAAAGTGTGATGAAGGAGCATTATCTCTAATAAGGAATCCATTTTGTTAGGGGATGAAATAAAACTCGTCTTACCTAACCTTTAATATTTCGTCGAAGGATGAGTTCTGTATTCCAGGATAGTCGATAAAGAACCACCACCTTGAGGATTCCCAAGTCCGAGAGATGTTGTGAGTAGGATGATTCAAGTACGATACTGCTTACTACGAAGACCAAAGCAAATGTTTGTTTTCCTTTACTTCTCATATTTCCACAATGGCCGAACGGTCGGCCATCATCGACATTTTACCAAACATGAAATGGCGACTGGCACCAAGATAAAATTCAACCATGAAAAATTGTCTGTCTTTACGCTCGAACTAGTTCGTTTGATACTGATCTTGAAACTCCCTTTCTCTGACATTAACTAACATTATCACTGTAGAAATCATTGACGAGAATGTAAACAAAAGAAAAGACCTATGCGTAATAAACAATGTTTCTCCTTCGTATCACCATCGTCCTATTCCTAATATCTTCATTTTCATAACATAACAAATGTCTTTCACCAACAGAAATAATATATATGTGTATATACACACACAACATATATATATTATACATATTATACACATACGTACATACTCCATTATATGTATAAAATTCCAATGTGTGTGTTTGTGTATATTATATATTTTATATATATATATATATATATATATATATATATATATATATTGGAATTTTAAATCAATAATAAAATGAATCTTATGCATTGAGAACGGATTGAAAATTTATCTATTCAACCGTACCGTTATAAACTCGACGTAACAAATTTCTAACAAACTCATACGGATCTACCGAAAGATCAAATCATCGATTTCTTCCTCCTACAACTACGGAACACCACCAGCAATAAAATCACACGAGAACACGATTTCTAGCTCTATGCGAAAGTTGGGCGCAGATTCGCGCCAACTTTCCACCTCTTTTACGAGAGGAACTTTACGATGCGACAAGAAATTCGCACCGTATTCGACACGGTAAATTCTCGTTCTCTCTCTCTCTCTCTCTCTCTCTCTCTCTCTCTCTCTCTCTATTATTTCATCTTTACCTTTTCGTTTCTCTCTCATATCTCTACTATCGTCTACTATTGAATCAATTGCTGATTGTTATTATTATTTTCAAATGAATTCTAACAATGACTTTTCTTTTTAACAAATTGAAATCAACTGATTCGATAATAATTTTCAATAATAGCACTGATATCCAAGAATAATATGATTATAAATCTTAAAGTATAAAAGTTATTGGCAATAAATTCAACACCACCATTTTTCCTTTCAAATAATCTTCCATTTGTGATATCAGCTGACTCGATAATTTTCTTTGTAATTACATTGATATCTAAGAATAATATAATTATAGATCTGAAAGTAAACGTTATATTATTGTTGATGATAAAAATTTGAAGGACATTATTTTATCAAAAATAATTCCATTCGTAATTAATTGATTAATCCTGATTAAAGTCGAGAAAATCTCTTCGATTTATATTTATTTAATAATATTGTCGATGTATAGAGAATAAAATTGACATAATAATAATTGTACAAATTAAAACGATAAAATATAAGTTTTATAAATTTGCGAGATCCACGAGATTGATAATGTAAAAAAGAAAAAGAAATATCTACATATATCAACAAAAAAAAAAAAATAAATAAATAAATAAAAAAAAAGAAGAAATAAATAAATCGCAAATGATCGAACAACAATTACTCGATGATCTTAATTTTCGCTTCATGTATAACAATTAAAATTCGAGAAAATCAAAGTCTAATAAATTTGCAAAATCCAATTTTCATAACGTGTAAAAGAAAAAAAAAATATAAAAAAAGAAAAAAGAAAAGAGAGAAAGAAAAAAAATATATTCGTATGAGCACAAATGATCAAACAGTAAATAGCAATTACTCCGAAGTGTTTGTTTCTATCAAAGGACCAAAGGAGGTACTTTTGAGATTCACCGATGAAAAGAAGTGAACGAACATTTGCCGTTCTCGGACTGCAATCAACTTGAACTCAACGATTACAACGGCACTCCGTTACGCTTTCTTTCCTATACCCACAGGCGATTTGCCTTTTCTACAGAAACTCACAACTTGTTTGCTCAGAGAACGAAACTCTGACTGTCGATTGCAAACCTATCCTACAGATCTAGAATCAAGGAAGAAGAATCTAAACCATTAGCGTTACCGTTGTCTCGACTTCCTTCCAACCCCATCCTTCCTTCCTTCCTTCCTTTCTTTCCATTTCTCCTTTTTACCCACCCACCTATCGTTCCTTACTTCCTTCCATCTTTCCTTCCTTCGTTCCTTCTAAAAAAAAAAAAAATATTCGCCAATCGCATTCGATAAAAATATTTTTCTTATTTTGATCAGGACAATTCACTTTCGTTAAATTATTTCGAATGAGAAAAAGAAAAAGAAAGAAAGAAAAAAATTGGATCGTCTTTTACGAACATTACGTGTCAGAGTTACGAGAACGCTCTTAACTCTTATTTCCAATTGGAAATTAATTTAGATCAAAATATAAAAAAAAAAAAAAAAAAAAAAAAAAGAAAAGAGAGAAAAAACAAGAGAAAAGAAAAAAAAATCGAAGAAAAATAGAACAATTTTGTCGTCGTTTAAAATACATACCAAGCTTAAAACTATATCCTACACATATAATAAATTTGTTAAACAATTATTTTTCAATGATAACACATATAAATATCCGTATAAAAAGAAATACCGATCGTCGATTCCATTCGGTCATCATCGTCGATCCCATTAGTCCCATTAGTCCCATTAGTCCCATCGTCGGTCTTCATAGTCGTCGTCGTCGTCGTCGTCGTCGTAAACTTGAAATTTTGCGTAACACATTTCCTGAAATGTCCAATGACCAATTATACAAATTTTTCCATTGTTTCACGCTTCTGTATTACCAGTCTTAAATATATATACTTAAATTATATTTTAAAACTTTAATTTTCGAAGATAAAGATCATATTATTATTCATACCTGAATATATTTGATGATCAGCTACATAACGCAATAAAAAAGAAATGTAGGTATGTATTTGAAAAAAAAAAAAATACTGACAAAATTTGACAACTCCGAAAAAAAAATTCTTGTCAGATATTGATCCTTTGACACCATGTACATTACGTAAGAAAAAAGAAAAAAATATTTTTTTGCATCACAATAAACCGAACAAATATTTAAATAGACCTACTTAAAAGAACCACCCTCTATATAGATATACTATACTATACGTATATACATATACAACATTGGTTTCTCTTCTTCACATTTCTCTATGCTCGTGAATATATATATATGTGTGTGTGTGTGTGTGTGTGTGTGTGTGTGTGTGTATCTATGTGTATGTGAGAACGTTTCAACATTGCAGTTAAAAGCAAACCGATTTATAATAAACTAAACTTTAAACAGACTCTCGTGTATTTGATCGTTGAGGGTACTTAATAATTCTCGAACTAAATAGTTCCATGAGAAGAGATTCCTCTTCTCATTTCTATTAAATAGATTAAAATAGATTCTATTCATCAGGATATAGTAATCATCTTAAAAAAAAAAACAAAACTACAGTAAAAACATTTATATCCCTATGTTTCTTAGTTCTACTAAACATTGTCAAGATTATAAATTTTCGACATTTTCTATCTCTTTTTCTTCGTAATATCGTTCTCCGTCATGATGAATTTTTCAAGGGAAATAAAGGAAAAAGCAAAATTTCAAGAAAAATTAAAGAGAGAGAGAGAGAGAGAGAGAGAGAGAGAGAGATTCTCCCGTATTTGCTCAAGGCACTTATCGATCTCGTGTACCGCCCCAACTTTCTTTCACGAAAAAAAAAGAAAAAAAAATAAGAAAAAAAGAAATAATAAAAAAAGAAAGAAAGAAAGAAAAAAAACGAGAAAAAAAAAGATAGGAAAGATATAACCATCCCCTTTGATGGATAAACGAAGATTCCCTTTATAAAACGTAGAAACCGGGGTGAAGGGAGCGAGGGAGGGAAAGTGGGGAGGGGGGCGGAGGGAAAGAGGAAGAACGTAGTAGATATTACTTTAAATATTCGTTCAGCTTCTCGCAATCCCATCCCAACGTGGCGGTGCATCGACTTCTCGATTCCCTGAGAATTTCTACGTCGCCCTTTTTCTCTTCATCTCTTCATCTCCTCCTCGTACTTTTCCTGTACATTGGTGTTGCAGATGTGAATCGAACCGTGGTAATTCGAAAGGGTGTACGCCTTCGAGCTGAATCGAAGAAGTGCTTCTCTTCTCTTTTGTAAAGAGAAAGAAGCAAGGTAAGAGAAAAAAAAAAAAAAAAAAAAGAAAAAAGAAAAAAGAAAAAAGAAAAGAGAAATGGAAAAAGAAAGAATAGAAGAGGAAAAAAACGCAAACAAAAAGAAAAAAGATATCAAAGAAGAGAGAAGGAGAGAGAGAGAGAGAGAGAGAGAGAGAGAGGATGAGAGAAAATTTTAATATGTTATGAAAAATAATTTTTTATATATCATACAACCCTCACATATATTTATCGCAAAGTTTAATATCGAAAGTTAATTTAGAATTGAATTTATTAGAAATACGAACATTATGTATATATTGAAATTTTATTATAGCACGTATATTTAAGCTCCTTCGTATCACATTGTATTATATCGTCCTTTAGTCTATTAGATATTATTATATTATAGTGATAATTATCTATTGGCTCGCAATAACTAAAAGCAATATAATACTATTATAATATTATAATATAATATATATATATATATATATATATATATTCTTAAAGTATATCTAC